CASAGTGCTTWTGGAAYCTCCTTTTAGGAGATGAGCATTTCATGATTTCAAAATTATTTGACAATAAGGTAACTCGAAAATATGCAAAATTTGAAACATTTTACCAGTCATAAAGTTTACTCTGTCTATAGAACTAAATTATGCAATATTTCTCAACTATACCCACTATTTCAAACCCAATAACACATCATAATATGTAATTATAAAATAAAAATCGTTATTACCTGTGAAATAGGCCTAGGTCCATACATCAGTGTAGCCAGGGCCATGACCGGACGACCTTCTCTCAACATGTCATTCACAGTGATGAAAGACTCAGATTTAAATACAAACCTGGCATTAGAAAAACTTGCACAGTATGCACAGTCCTTATCTAACAAAAGAGGGAACAATATTGAATGTAACTTATACTTTTAAAAGTGATATTGTGTTCCTTATTGATTAGAAATAATCTTGGAAAGGTTGTTAATTATATTACATTTTTAAAATATGGTCAAGGTAGCCAGGATTTGAGGTGGCTGTAATTTTGAGTAACTTGGCCACAGAGGTCCAAAAATTATTTTACCTTCAGGTCTGATTCCTGCCAGTCTGAATGAAACCATCATGTCAACCCACGCAGGTTGGCCTTCGTTTAGTTTTAGCTCATTTACATCCACAATTGACTCCCCTAGTCTATAAGGAAAAAACATGCATTAATACAAGTTTGCATTAATTACAATTTGCATTTACATCAAGGCAGAACAGGACAATTTTTACTTTGACTTTAATTGCCTTGACAACACACCCTTGGCAACACGCTTACCTATAAAAATCTAAATAGTAATACAGCACATTAACAAACTCCATCTTTATACAATATTCAATGAATTTGCCATGAAAATTCCTCAATGACATTATCTGATGGTGGGCACTTGATTGTTCCATGTCATCACCATGRTGATCMCTTGAAGGGCCCATGATATCAGCATKGTGATCACTTGATGGAGCAACGTCTTGTTCCAAGTTTGCAAGAGGATGTGGGTTGGTGAAAAGAGTGTGTGTYCGTCCMAGGTGGTGAAGAAGTGTTGATAAGTTAGATAACTGTTCAKAGGTGTAGAATCCATGCCTGGAAGACAAAGCAGCTAATATTCAAATTATAGTCAACTGATACTATTTTCTATAGGTGGTATATTATATTTACAATGAGAAATAAAATCCTTATGGATTCATGAAGTTAGTTTTAAAAAATGTATGGGGGTTTTATTTAGCTTCCAAGGTGTATTATTTTACAACATATTCAAAGATTACAATTTACTCTTACTGTCAGTATTAAAGCAATACCTACCTGGTCAATTCATCAACAACAATATCTTTAATAGCACCAGGACAGCCAGGAAATTCACTGTACACATCACATGTCAAGTGAGGAAAAACTATCTTATCCTGACAAACAAGGAGCTCATCTCCAACACTTATCAAAAAATTCCCATGCGAAACCTCATGGCCAGTCATTGCTCGTATCCATCCTTTTAAAATTTGCCAGTCAGCTCTTGACGTGAAATAGTGCCAGATAGCCTTGGCAGAAATAGAGAGGGTGGTCTTTGAAGAATCTATCAAACAAAATTCCAATGAAACCATGATAATATTAAAATTAAAGCAGTATGGCTCTTGATATAAAAAAATGTCAACTTCTTTTGAAAAGCAAGTGATGGAAGTGAATAAAGAAAAGAAAAAAAAAACAGAAAAATGTAAACAGCAGTATGGCAATAACTTTAGTTACCTCTTTCACATAAAATCCTTTCAAAAAGAATTCTCTGCCGATCTTCAGGACTCCATGCCTTGACCCAGTCAAGAAGAACCTCTGCATAGCCCCCATGTTGGTTCTACAGATTAGCAATTTAATAACAAAGTGTTTATATCTTCATTCTGTAATTATAATAACATTACAAAACTAATGCTTATTACCTCATATTGCAATGGTCTTTGTAACAAGCTTCCTGTTTCAATGTTCATCTCCAGAATCCTTGCTGAGTCTAAGCTGAATGTATTTCGAAGCAGCCCGAATTCGGTCCAGCTGAAAAGCAGTAGTTTTGGTTGCCTTTATTTATCACATTACTGAGTTACTAGACAGTGAAAAGTCTTCAAGGGTAATTATTGGCAGTAGAATTCACCATTTATCAAACATGTTTTTTACATTTGACACGTTTTTAAATCAAATGGCAGTAAAACCAGTATGTAATGTCTGTCCGTCCACATGTTTACCAGGTATATGGTTACAAATGTTCAAGCGCATGTAGTTCTTACTCCTACTTCTAATCAAGCAAACGCTATAAACATGAAACACTTTTGATATGACTAATATTACTGCTGTCCATAATATAACGTCTCTGTTGGTTATTAAGAGTTTAAAGTGATATTAATATTCCTTACTTATCTGGTGGTGATTTCATTGTTTTCTTTGCAATGTTATATGATTGAGTACCATACACAGTCTCTAAAGAATGAACAAACTCAATCATGTCTTCATCATCTGAGGTGAGTTGTCCACGGGAACGCAGTTCACAGATCTAGAARGWCACAATAAAGCACAACATCAAATGATAAATAAAACGAAATATTCAGTTTTGTTTTCATAACTTACAAGAAAGTCTCTGAGAGGACGATGAAACGTGTTGAAGCATAGGACCCGAAGTTGATCCATGACATCTCGACCCTACAAAAAAGAATAGTGAAAGATTAACTTTATACTATTTTGAAGTTAATTCATGAATGTAGGTTGTTTTTGATGATTTATTTGGACACTCAACATCTACTTGTAAAATAATCATCATTTTAATAAGTTACTATTAGTTACCAAGTTTGTGATAATTTTCATGGCTGTGTCAACATCTTGGTTTACAAGGCACGACAACATGATCTCTAGCCCTGTAGCTGTTAAAGCTGACAGAGAACCATCACAGGAAACCTTCAAAAATACACAAAAATATATTGAAATCCTTTAGTGAGCCACAGAAAAGTGCAATCCATGGGTTCATAGGCTACCTTGTTGTTTAGTTTGCTCATAAAGAATGCTTGTGCAGTACCAATAGTACTATTAATGATGGCATCCTTTATAACATCCTGTTTTTCATACAAACAACATCAACATTTTAATAATAACTTACAATGTAAAAGAAAAAGAAAAAATAAACTTAATTTAGATTCTAAAGGTCAAAGTACACAATTGAGTAGGGAGTAATAACAATTGGGAACCATCAGTAATCACGAAAGTATACACAGGTGGATAAAACACAAGATTTCAGATTACAGCTGTTACATAAGTAATACATTGCAAATTTATAAATTTATTCAAGGTCATACAGTAAAGAGGCACAAATAGCCTATCCAACATATTTTACTCATGAAAATTTTGACACAACAACACTGCAATTGAGAAGGGCTCAGTTTTCAGTCATCAGAGTCTGTCCGTCTGTCTACTAGTCTACTCTTCCAACTGTCTTTCATTCTGACTGTCCAATCATGCGTCTGGTCTGTCATGACAAAGTCAATCCTACCTTATCGTCCATAGTGATCCATTTCCCCATAACATCCCATGATTCATCACCAATATTGCAGAACACRCCACTACTATCATCACCATCTATGACATCAATACCATCATCTTCAGAAAGGTTACTAAGGTAATGCCGCAGCTCATCAACACTCTTAGTAACAAACATCAAACAGTTTTCTACTTGTGTTAGTAAGACTGGTTCAGAGTCTTGGAGAGCTGGAGTTTCTATTCTCTTCATTTCAATGAATTGAGTGCCGTCTTGAAGCAAGCAGTGTAGGTATTTAAGAGTCAACTGAAGAAGTTGATTTGTAAACTGTAGGTTGTGATGTTCTGCAAGCATAAACAAAGAGTTAGAGTTAGAGTGAGTGAGAGTAAAATTTAGAGTTAGGTTAGAGTTAGGTTAGAGTTAGAGTTAGAGTTAGAGTTAGAGTTAGAGTTAGAGTTAGAGTTAGAGTTAGAGTTAGAATCAAGTCATGCAATTCAGTTACATATTGTAGATCCCTTTCTTACGTTTAGCATTTTTCTTGACTGATGACACTAGTGCATTAATCACATCTTCAGTCTGCTTGGTATCCATTCGAACAGGGGTGTTTTGAAATGCTGGRCTTGATGAGAATGACTGCTGAGGTGAAAGAGTTGTTCTTGGAGAAGTGACGGATTCTGTAGAACTTGTAAATACTACAAAAAAATGGAATAACAAAATCATTATAATTATAATAAATCATTCCTTATTATTCCAGTACAAGAAACATAAAATACTAATGCAGGAAAGAGAGAATTACTGACCATTYTCTTGTGTTTTTAGAAAGAAAGCAATRGTGTYMAGCTGTCGATGCTTCAATGCAACCTTTAAGGCCTCCAATGGAATTACACAGTGGTCCCACTGGTTCACACGRCAGACTTCTTCAGCCAGAGCTGCATTCTCATACATTATAACCTACAATGGAGCATAATGATTAGAATTACAGAGAAAATGTTGAAACATGCTATTCACTGCTTTACAAACTCAAAATAGTCATTCTATATAAATGTCCCTTGATTACTGTGGCTGACAGAAATAATTGTGGAAAGAAGGAGGGTTAAGAATGCAGTGACATACCTCCTATTATATCATGTAAGTCTATTGAAAGTAGGTTGAAAAGAAATTATGAAGTGTACACTACAAGAAATATTTGCAATAATGACATGCACTATAAAGACAACTCATTCTACATTTCAGACCATTCATCAACAACATGACATTTATAAAAACATACTTTGTGTACAAACTGGTTCTGGTTGATRCCAAATGAAGGGACAGTTAGTTGTTTCTTTGTCAAAACACACACTGGCTGCAAAGGATCACTACTTTGTACAATAACTGCTGGCTCAGAGAATCTGAAAATAAACATGTATTTGAGATGTATAAGGGCAATTCCACATGAGACGTATGAAAAAATGACAGATTTTAAAATTTAAAATCCTACATTCAAAAGCAGCTTAACATGAAACCAATACATTGGACTAAAATAATATTTATAAGGTTAAATTGTGTGAATGTGGAGAATGTTTTTTTTAATAGTGCAATCAATATTCAATCAGATACAGTAATATCATCTATTACTAGTAATTTGAGATTTTGAGGGTAGAAAATAATAAGTTCAATATTTTTTTAAAAATACAGTTTCAGATTATTCTTTACATTTTATTGCTTAATAATATTACTGTACTCATAACATGGAACGATTTGGTTTAGAATAACCTTTTTTAAGATTTATACTGCACAGCTTAAATTAGAAAAAGTAGTCTTACATCATATGATAAGCTACATCTGTATTGCTATATCCATAGAGATAAAGCAATCCATTTGTGTAGTTAGGACCAACATCTTGGCTGCTATCACWATYCTTTGGCTTGAACTGAACCAAGAATGAATCAAATCCAGCAGACATTTTTACTAGTTCTTGCTCCTTCACAAACATGTCAACATTGTAGATGAGAGATTTAACTTCAGTACACGAGGACTGAGACATTAYTGGTTCCTTGCTGATGCTTATAGAGCTATCAGAGCCTGGTGTAGCACTTCTGGCATCAGATTTCCTTCTCTTCAACAGAAARCCACTTAATTTTGTACTTTTTGCTAGCTTCTCGTCTTGACAACGKTGAGCAGGAATGCTAAACTGTATTTCCTTGATATGATTAAACCATCTCCCGTTTGGCAAAACTGGAAAATATTAAATTCAAGGAACAACTTTTCAGTTTATCATGATTATTATCCGCACATGTGTACATGTATACCTAAGCTATCATGTCTCCTCTCACAAAAATCAATGCAAAACACCTACCATCAACACTTCTGTCTTGTGCTGTTTCCAGCCTCATCTCCACAAGCTCATTTTTCCAAAACCTGTCACCATAGCCAATGTCTGACATCTTGGCACTTCTCAACAATAAATCTTCATCTTCAGTAGAATACTGCAGAGTTCCTTGCTGGGATAATTTTGCAGCACTTTTTGTCATCCTATTCTTGAAGCATAAGTTGGAAGGGTTGTCTTGAAAGTAATCATCAAGATTGATWGTATAGATGGTGTTGGATTCATCAGAAGAAATAAGCACTGAGAGATCTTCTGTGATTTCCAGGTTGACAAACTTTGTAGGATAATGAGTGTCAAAGCTGTCTTCATATGAGTCAGTATCTATGAAGATTTACAAATTGGTTAACATAATAATATATATGGAAGAATACAACAAATGCAAAATTATGATCATTTTGACTCATATTCCATGAAAATAATATAAGAAATTATGTAATATATCATTGCAATCTTTTTTCAGATAGTACTTGTGCTAGGCAACATCAAAAAATATCAGCGATGATATCCCATAATTTATGATAAATTTTATATATACTTGGAATATGAGTCAAAATGATCATAATTTCTGTATAATTGCTGTTAATAGTACTATAAATATAGAACTTACTTTACAGCCTTTTGCACAAATTATGAGACATTTTTATATATATAAATATAACTAACCAAATATCAAAAACACCCAAGAAATTATGGGATACCGTCGCTGATATTTTGTCATGATTGCCTAGCATCAGGTTGTTACAGACAAAATATCAGCGACGGTATCCCATAATTTCTTGGGTGTTTTTGATATTTGGTTAGGTACAGCCTTTTTCAAAAATTATGAGAATTGCTGAAATATCTAAATATCATAATATCAAGTGCATGATCCCGCGCGATGCCCTTAGTCCCTTGTCTTTGTTGTTTAGTTTTTTTTCGGGGACGGTCTTATCTGTAGTTCTGAACATTTTCTCGATGTCAACAATGAATTACTCTAGCAAACCCGCGTGTTCCGGACAATGTGTGGATATGGATATTATGATATTTAGATATTTAGACAATTCTCATAATTTTTGCAAAAGGCTGTATATTTATATATATATAAATGTCTCATAATTTGTGCAAAAGGCTGTATCAGAATTTATATATAAATATTGTATGCGAAATGAATGGGTGTGATGTTTTATTGATTTTCTTATTTATATTCACATTTTTATGCAGCATTTCATTAAGGTTTTGAAACATGAGAAAACACTTCAGAGAACAAGTCTGCTAGATATACATACCATCGCTCTTGAAGTGATACGATTGAATATCAATGACTCCTATGAATTCACCACTGATAAGATGGATGACTAGTTAAACAGTCAAGTACAAATATTTTCATTTAGTAAATAAGCTAATACCGAAACTTGTCCCTTCACTCTAGGGAAAAATAAGATTACTAGATAAATATGTAAAATATGGGTGTTATTAGAATGTTCCAGTATACTATGTTATTATTTGATAAAGGATACTAGTTGTTCCAGAGGAAAACAAGCAAAATATCAATGACTGACATCTTTTAACCTGTACGAGAGATGACACAGGGACCACAACTGGTAGACTCAAGGTGGAGTTGTCCAGYGCAAAACAGTACACAACTTCAACAACGTTGACACTTAGAGAAAGCAATACAATGTACTTTTGATTGACAAGCAGAGTTGCAACATGATTGGTTGGATTTCTCTCTGTTTCCATGGCAACGATTGATATATCATGTATTGAATAATCGCCTGCAACTAAGAAAAAAAAGTTGAAAGAGGCAGTAGCTACATGTACGTATGACTTTATTGAAAGCATTGCTATTGAAATGATAGAAATGAGAGAATTGATGATGATGATGATGACAATGATGATGATTGTAATTATTATATTATATATTAATAATAACCTATAAATAGATGACTCCTGTCTTAACAATAATAATGAATATCATGTAACTATTTGTATGATATAACATTATAATACCTTTTCCTCTGTTTATTATATTATATTATATATTAATAATAACCTATAAATAGATGACTCCTGTCTTAACAATAATAATGAATATCATGTA